CTCCCTCCCTCCCTCCTCCCCAAACTTACCAGCTGGAGGCAGCTGTATTGGAAATTGGATCAGTATCAGCCAATATGTCTCCTTAAATATCAGCTATCAGTCTTGGCCCCAAAAATCTCTATCGGTGCACCCCTACATGTTATGCTACCAAGCAAGAGCCATTCAATCCCCTGGGCCCTTGATTTGGCTCCTTACCCACCCAAAAGTCAATGTAAGAAGCTCAAAGATATTTCTTGTTCTCCTTCATCCCTCTTCTCCCCCACCATACTATCAACAAGTCCTATCATTGCTTCCAAGTTAGAGATGGAAGTCAGTTAGCATAACTATTCCATCCCCTGCATAGATGGAGAGAACTGACTCCACAGTGCACCCCCCCCACTTCGTATGTCCGGACACAAACCAAGCTAAATCTAAGGTTAGCCCCAAGAAATTGTACATTTTTGAAGCCAGGACCCAAAACTGAATTCCTTTAAAGAACAGGCTAGTTGACATCTTAAGATAAAGAAAAAAGAAAATGTTGAGCTGTGGATCTTTGCACAATTACCATCATAGCATATGATGACAAGTGGAATATTTAAATGCACATGCAGTTAGCCAGCTGAAGTCTACCCCATGTATGCATTCTTCCATGTGCACTGCCAATTTCAGCTCAGGAGTCACTACATAAATCAGAAACCTACTACTGACAATGCCATTGCAGATTAATAGTCTAACAAAGACTAATCTAACATTAAAAGTGAATAATTAGCTATTCTTAGTCTATGCCAGCAAGCCACATATACAAATACATTTTGAGCACTATGTCATGCATCCCCATTGGTTGGGGTAAAAACAATGGAATATTAAGCTAACCGGAAATCAAATCAATTTACAAGGTAAAATTGTATGAGTCGATCTTTCAAGTTCTGTTCAAGGTGAACAGAACTGTGGAGCTGATCACCAGGTCTCAGTCGACTCTTCATGAAAAGGAAATAAGGTATAGCTCAAAAGAGGAGCAAGCAGACAGATAGATAACTGAAGGGATAAATTAGGAAGAGGGGGAGACAAAGGATTTCTTGTTGAGCAGAGGAAGAAGGTACTGAAGAAATGTTGGGGGAAAAAGGGGTTATAGGAAAAGGGAAAAAAAGGGAGGGAGAAGAATGAATCGCCACAGCATACACTATAATGTCAATAGCAACTGGCAAATTTTTGGGGGCAAAACTTCACGTTTATTTAAAAAGGAGGGGCCCCATGGGATCTTAAGATCCCTTATTATGGCCTTATGGATGATCCAGGAAAGCACTTTGGGAGCCAATGAACTTAAATATTTCCATTCAATACAATATAGAACAAAACTGCTCTAATTTTGTTATCATTCCTATAAACCCAATATATAGGAAATTGAGAGTCATTTAAATAACTACAGTTCAACTGGTCTACTACTCCAAATGCATTTAAAAAAGCAACTTGGAAAGCAAAATATGAGATTTAGTCACTCTGAGATGGATGTGTATAGTAAATGCTATAAAGGAACATAAAAACCACAGAGACTCTTTGTTCCAATGGAAAAAATGTTTTAAAGTGTCAGAGTACACATCCATCTTTCTTTGAAGTTATAGGTGGAATGAAAAACATTTCCCTGTGGCTATTACATACTCAATCTACTACCCCCACCCCACCAAAAACTCTGACTGAAGAAAGCTTGTGGGCCATATTTAAAGGTATGACTCCTTATAACCCATTCAAGACACTTCACTAGGGTGCAACTTTCAACTGTCTGACCCACTGTATATTAGAGTACTCAATGAGAATCTCACATTAGTTTCATGTTGTTGCAAGTCCACTGACTTCCTATACTTTACCTACTTATTATATGTATCTGAGAGCCAATCCAGAACTGACTCAGAGTTGGTATAACCAACAGTAAACCAGAGGAACACAATACCAAAAAAAAAAAAAAAAAAAAAAAAAAAGATTAAGCTAGAAAGACAAACAAGAATACCTTAAGTAAATCAATCTCAGCGGGTCTACTTCCAGCTCTGTAATTCAGAAGGCCTTCAGAAATTTAGAAGGCCTGAGAAAAGTAATTATCCAGCACTGAGGAATGCTCTAAGTCTAGACAGTGTGGGAGCACACTGCATCAAACTGGTGGCTATGGTAAATCATGGAGTTAAGAGCAGCTCCAAGGTTATTCTAAAATTATGCTGAGGACTGCACAAACACAAAATCCCAGAAGCACCTAAAGCTACCATATGGCTGTTTTTTTGTTTCCATTATACTTTGGGGGAAGGTGCAAAAGGAACTGGCTTACACACACTAACACAGGGGTTGTCAACCAGGGGTACGTGAGAAGGCCCCAAGTGGTATGTATGGGCGGGCAGGGATGGAGCACCGCCATGCAGCATCCTGCACAGGTGCTGCCCACCCGGCTAGACATGGTGGGCAGGGGAAGCTCACATGCAGCATCTGCCACTGCTCTGCATCCAGCCACTCGCCACCCAGCCCCCTCCCCCTGCTCAGTGTCTGGCTGCATGCCACCCCTCCCCGGCTCGGCAGCTAAGGGTACACTGCTCCATGTCCGGCTACTGGAGGGTACAATGATGCAAAAAAGGTTGAAAACCCCTGCACTAACACTTGGGGCTAAGCCTGAGGGAACCAAGTGCCCTGTCTGGACCCCACTGCATTTTCTCAGAATGGCCTTTAAAAAAGGCTAGGACTCCTTAAAACAATGTTATTAACAATGTAACATCACTTTATTAATCTGCTGCATTCAATCTTATTTTAAGAATCAGAGGAAGACAGAATATGCAGAAACCCTTAACCAGCAAACTGCTAAAGGCAAATAAAGAGTGCTAACCTGATAAACACGTCATCAGTCCTAAGGCAAGCATGGCACCAGCCAGTACAGTCAAACGATTATAACGCATCGCCATGATAGCTGCAATAAAGAAGGTCTTGTCCCCCAGTTCTGATACAATGATGACTGATATAGCAGCTACAAAAGCATGAATAAACCCCAAATTTGTCTTGTCAGCTGATTCTTCATTTACTGGAGCAACTGCTGTAGGCCCTTTCTGCAAGCAAAGAAAATAATAGAATTACCTCAGCTGAACGTTTAACTTGGGGAAGAATTCACCTTTAATTTTCTCCTGTTAGACTATTATCCTCTGGTATTTTTGATAAAATATTTTGATGCATGATTAACTAGTGCTAGCAGATATCCATCCAGAATATGCTGATCAATCATTAACCTCTGACATCCTGCTCTGATTAATAAAGGAATACCACCTTTGTACAGATTACAGTACGACTGCATGACAGTCACTACTACCCTGAAAGAGGGAAAGCAGATTCAAGACAGGTGCAATACTGCAGTTTACAATGCTCACATCCTCCCCTTCCAACTTTCTAATATTTTGGCAGCTCAAATGAGATATTTTGGTTAACAGTGATTTAATAGCATTAGACCATAATACTGTTACATGTCCAATATAATTGGTATTGGTAGAGATTCAGAACTCTACCATGATGTATTGATACAGAGTCAGAACTTCCTGAATTTTAACTGTATAGTAGCTTTCTTCTCCCCAAATTCCATCACCTTAGCAACACTGAAGTTCTTAACAAAATGAAACACACTTGTGTGTAGATTCTCCTTTAAAAAGAAAGCCTTTACTTTTGCCAGATAAAGGTGACCAAATTCTAGATCTAGACCACAAGTTAGAATTTAAACTGATGGAATTAAAAAAAAAAGTGATTAAAATTAAGAAGCTAGCTAGAATTGTTAAGGGACATGTTAAAGTGGTCAATCTTTTCTGGATCAAGACTGCTAACTTTTTAAAAAGGCACTAAACACACAAAAATTCATTTACAGCTCAGATCTCATATTACATGCACTAAAGCATATCAAACATTTTTATTAATTAGTCAGCTGCTAAAAATGTACCAATCCAGGCAGGGATAATGAAACTGAAGTGCCACAAAATTTGGAAGTGAGTTCAAAATTTGACAAAATGAAAGATAAAAGCCAGCAACAAGGCCCAATTCGAGCCAGAAATAGGTTTTCATTTGATTTAATGTCAAAAAGACCTGGAGAGGTCAGTTCCCCCTTACCAACACATAAGCAAACATGTCTTTATCAGATAAATACTTTCTACTAAACAACCAGAATTTTATGGTCAGGTTTTGCTGACTACTGTAGAATCAAATGCCATCTTCCCCAACTTAATGTTTGAGTTCACTGGATTATTCTCTAAAGATAAGAAGGTCCAACCAGTTTGCTTTAAAATTTTAAGATATTTTAAATAAACATCAAAGATCAAGTCAGTTCAGATGCATAACCCCTTAATTTGTTATACCATATTAAGGGAGAGGGGAGGTGGAATACCTAGTAGCATATGCTGAATCAAAGAGCTAAAAATATCTAAGAAATAGGACATGCTTCCTGAGTACCTGGGACCTGGTGACCGTCTATAAACTCACTAGGGGGGGGGGACCAGAAGGGTTTGGGGGAGACCTTGTTTCCCCTAGCATCCCCCGGGATAACAAGGAATAACGGCCACAAGTTGTTGGAGAGTAGGTTTGGTTAGACATCCACAAGAACTACTTCACAGTTAGGGCGGCTAGGATCTGGAACCAACTTCCAAGGGAAGAAGTGGTGCTGGCTCCTACCCTGGGGGTCTTTAAGAGGCTTGATGCCTACGTGACTGGGGTCATTTGAGCCCAGTTTTCCTCCTGCCCAGGCAAGGGGTTGGACTTGAAGATCTACAAGGTCCCTTCTGACCCTACTTCTATGATTACCTAGACACATGTTCAAAAGGTGACTAAAGGATTGTATGAAAAAGAACTGGACCTGAACCTATATATTAAAAAAATGTTATGATGCTTAAAGATCTAGAGGAATTAAATGCTCTGAAATCAACTGAGCTCAGTTAAATTTATCTTAAAATACTTAAGGTAACTTAAAAACAGGCTGAAGCAAATCTCAAAGCCATTATCAATTTTTCCAAGAAAACATTTTGGAGGATGAGTTCCAGAAGACCAGAAAAGGGCAAACAGCACCTAGACCAACAGAACTAACTTCAATTCCCAGAAAGATACTGGAACAAGTAGCCAGCTATCTATTTTAAAGCACCAAGAAGATAACAAGATAAGTAACAGCCAATATTGATTTGTTACAGATAAACCATGTCAAGCCAACCTTGTTTTTTTTCCATGCCACGACAGAAGACCTTGTGGACAGGGGTGAAATAACATACGTGATATCTGGACTTTAGTTATGCTTTTGACAGTCGCAAATGACATTCTCTTCAGCAAGCTATGGGTAAAATAGGCTAGATCGACTATTCTAAAGATGAGCATCTAATTACACGGGAAAACGCAATCAAAGAACAATGGTTCATTTTCAAACTATAAGGATAAATCAAATGAGGTGAAAGAGGGGTGTGGCCTTGATCTAGCTATATATTATAAATAAAGCCTGAATGATGGAATACAGTACCTTAATGATGGAATACAGTACATTAAAATCAGAACCTGATGGCCAGGCTTTTAAGGGTCGTAAGTACTCCATAAGATAAAATTAAAATTCAAAGCAATCTTGACAAATTAGGGGAAAATGGTATGAAATAGGATAGAATAAAATGAAATATGCTATTTTACGCTTGTGTTCATTATCATAGGAATAATTGCACACATACAAAATGGGAAATAACTGTCTAGGCAGCGGTTCTGCAGAGAAGGCTCTTAGGTTTGGAGAAGACAAACTGAACATGAGTCAACAATATAGTACAGTATCTTGCAATAAACCAACATTATGCTGGGATGTTTATCAGGACAGTCACGTACAAGAAAGTAATTCTGTCATGCTAGTCAGCACTGGCAAGGTCTCAAATGGAGAATTAAGCCCAGGTTTGGGCACCACATTTCAAGAAACATGTTGACTAAATACTGAGTAGCATAGATGACTAGATGAAAGATTGGAAGAACCTGACTGTTTAGATGAGAAGACCAAAGGGAGACATTGCAATAGCTTTTGAATCTGCTAAAGGTTATTGCACAAAAGGAAGTTGCAATTTGTTCCCCATGTTTACTCTGGATGAATGAACTGAAAACAGGATTAAAATGTAAGCAAAAGAGAATTAGATTAGATGCTAGAACTTTTTAGAAATGGAATACACTGCCTAAGGAGGACCTGAAGTCTCCATCACTACATCTTTCTTAAGAGCAGGTTAGACAAATATCTGTTAGGCATCATTTAAGTATAGCCGGTCCTGCTTGAGGACTTCTCAGTCCTGATCCCTAATTCCCTGTGAATATGAATTCCTTAACTTTTCAATTGTTCCACTTCTGCATTCCTAGTCCTGGTCTATGGTTAACGTAATTTTACTGTGTTTAGAAGACCAATCAACTAAACTTTGGCTTCACTATTTAGAGTTGTGCAAAAAACTGATTATAAATTGATTAAGAAAAAATATAGCTTTGAATTAACCTAAGAGTCGCTCCTGCTAAACAGGAAGTAAAGAAAAATTTGATTTTAGGTCAAACACGTAAAACAAACAGTCCATCTGAATGTTTTATTCTCAGCTGTTCCCCCCCCCCTCCACCCCCGCCTACCCACACACATTCACATTTTTTTTTCCATTGGATACATTTGGTCCAAAAGAGACTGACTAGAGAAGTCAAAACACTTTGTTTCAAAACAAAATGTTTCAGCTTCCCTGAAGAGTTTCTTTGGCTGAGAACTATTATGGATCAAGTGCATTTCAGTTGCCCCCAAAATATCAGCAAATGAACTGTTCATCCAAAAAGTTCTGTCCAGCTCTAGTTGCTAGAAGTTACATAATGTTCACCATTGCATCCCAAGAGGTAGTAACAGGGTTGCTTGTTTAGGCAGAATGCAACAGCTGCTACTGTTTATTAATATCCTATCCTACAGATCTAGCAAAAATATGATCAGTCTGGCCTAGAAAGCCAAGTTTCTAATCTAAATATATTTTAAAGAGTGCAAAACAAATGAACTTTCAGTGCCTCTTCTTCATAAGGAGCAAGGAGGGCACAATAAAAGATGTAGCAGGGCTGACAGTATTGTAAGATAAGCTTTATAACCCCCCGCCTTTAAAAAAAAAAAAAAATATATATATATATAAATAAATAAATAAATAAATAAATAAAGTGGTCCACAGCCACTTTTAGCTTTAGCCATTACCAATTTTTCCAGAGAGCTCAAGTCTCAAAAATACAGTGCCAAAACAAAACACCCTGTCTCAAGGGAACTATGGAGAATACACTACACTTATTTTTCATGGGTCTGGAAACAGAAATGCAGAGCAAATTTAACATGTCCAGTTTTTCAGATTACAGGTTTATTTTCTTGCATTTCTTCCACCCCTGGTATCCTGCACATGCCTCGGCTTCTCAGCCTGCTGTACCAAGGAATAAGGAATTGACAGGACATGGAAACAAGGAGTGACATGAAAACTTTGTTTCTGTTAAGGAAGGTCTTGCCCCTCTGCCAAGGGTCAGACTGATTGGGGGTCAGGACAGAGCTTTACCCCATGGTCAGATTGGTATGGACAGTTGGGGGGGGGGGGTTGCTTTACAAGGGGCATGGCTGGGATCTCGGGTGTATACTAACATTTCATAGAAGCAGGATGTTGGCTGCCGCAGTTCCCGCTTTACTTATGACAGGTCTGGGTGTTAAGACTGTTGCCAGCCATGGCCCAGCACAGACCTATGTAGGGTTTAGATCATGGCACGTTCAGGGTGGCTTGAAAAGGGATGCTCTGCTCCCACAGTGCTCTAGATGCCTTCCGGGTGTCCCCTCCAGCCCCACTGCCCTATGACTCCAGGGAAGACATTCACGGTGACAAGAGGAGCAGGCTTTCAGAAAGCAGGAAGAGAAAGAAGAGGAAGAAGGGTCTTCACTGCTTTGTGCAGCCTCTCTGCCTCCCTCCACCCACCAATAGGTACAAGCTGAAGCCTCCCTCTCTGGCGACAGGAGGACGTCTGCCGACGCAGCCGGGCCTCGACCCGGCAACTTCTCCTCTTCCGTCCTGGCCTTGCTCAGGGCCCCTGAAGCTTTACTTGACAACCAGCCTCGGCCCCGGCCCCGGCTCGGCCCCGTCAGCACCGCGGCGCTGTCACAGAAGCTGAAGATGCCGCTGACAAGCGGCCACTGGAGGCAGTGGCCACTCCGCTATTAGCCTCTCCGGTCCTTCCCTGGGCTCCTCCCCGCTCTCCAGGCCCCGGCCCCGGCCCTCACCTCAGCGCGCGCCGGCCCCGGCCCCGGCCCAGCGGGC